CACACACACAGACACTCACACACACACACACACAGACACTCACACACACTCACTTACACACACACACACACACACACACACACACACACACTCTCAGATCTGTCTGTCTGCAGTGCTTATGTTCAGCTCTGAAGTGAGCCGGACTGTGACACTGTGTGTGTTTTCACGCTGAGGATCATGGGAAGGCTGTGTGACCGCATGTTAATGAGATCTGCCCTGCAGCTCAGGAGCTAAATTAAGTGCCGACCTGATTTTAACCACAAACACACACCTGATGATCTACAACACTCTCTTTATAGCATCTTTCACAACGACGTCTGAAAGCTCATGATGCAGAATTTACTCCTTAAAATAAAATGTTTCAGTAAATAAACACCTGTTGGTCACAGTGTATCTTTGAAATATTTTCATTTTTATTCATATTTTGAATTCGTTTTAATTTTAGTACTTTTGTTGCGTTTTTGTAATTTATATATGTTTTGTTTTAATATTTTATGGTATATTAAATTATTAAATAGTAATAAAGTTATTAAATAATAATGAAGTAAAATAACTAGCTTAAATATTTAGTTTGATGATTAACCCCTTAACTGTCACCCCCTATTTTTTAAAATAGGCATGAAAGTGCACTATCCAAACTTAAATTGTTATAATTCATGAACACTTTGGAATACAGAGGCAAGGTTGGTCTCTTTTTAAAGAAGACAGTCAGCAGATTATTGCAGAAGTGGGATTATTTCAATCAAAAAGTTATAGAAATTTAAATTTACTGTAAAGAAAATGCACTGTACGATTTTTATTATATTTTATATAAAATAAATATTTTACACAACTGGTTTTACTCTAAAATTGCTAAAAAGGTAAAGCCATATGTCTAAATAAGTTATGTTCCAAATTTGAAGTTGCTATGAAAAAAAATGAGTGAGATTTTATTTAGGGCGTTATATCACAAACAGCCACCGGGTGCCATCAAAACTCCATTTAATTTTTTTAATGCATTTTTCTGTCACAAATGTCTAGATTTCTCTGTCAATATTACTTCTATCACAAAATAACCACCAAATATGGAATCCTGAGACTCAAAAGACCTTTCCAATGATATGTTTTATGTCAAGGTTATAAAAAGTTTTGACCGTAATGCTTTTTGTAATATGACACTTGACACCGCCCACTAAGGGAGACCACCAAAAGTACCATTTCCATGGTAACGCAATGTCTGATTTCAAAATGTTTTTGCAGGATGAATCTTGGGCTTCTAAGCTTTCAAACGATATATGATGATTACTAAAATATTTGATAGGGAAAAAGGACAACAAAATAAAAGAGCGCCAAGCGTCCCACAGGTGGTTGGTTTTAGTTGATCAGTAGGAGCTGATTATGTTGTCTTTACTGGATTTCAGCGGCTTCGCTCTGTGTTTCAGGTCCCATCAGCAGTATTCTGGTGAACACGTACGGCTGCCGTCCCGTCATGATTTTGGGCGGCTTTCTGTGTGCCATCGGGATGATCAGCGCCTCCTTCTGCAACACCGTCGTGCAGCTCTACATCTGCATCGGCGTCATCGGCGGTCAGTGCGATGCAACCACAATCGGTTTCCAAACTGCTTGAAACGCTGGTTAAACTATTAATTTCTTCTTGAAATTTTGGGGTCATGACTAGGGTTGGGAATCGAAAATCGATTCCAGAATTGGATACTTGTTGTCAAATTAAAATTTCGATTCCACCTATCGATTCCTATGCACTTTTTCTTCCTTCATCTGTGAGGACCGGAGCTAGCGATCTGCCAGGACCTTGCTCGCTAATCTAAGCGCTCCAAACAGTGTTGCCAATTTAGCAATTTTGTTGCTAAATTTAGCAACTTTTCACACTACCCTAGCAACTGTTTCTTCTAAAAGCATCTAGCAACAAATGTAGCAATTTTTTAACGTTTATTTGGCAACTTTTAGCAACTTTTAATAAGTGACTCAAACGATAAAAAGGCACACATTTTTTCATCTAAATAACACAAAAAGAGGAAACTAGGGCTGTCAAAATGGCTGAAAAACTAAATTCAATATTAAATTATATTCGAATTTAAAATGCATAATTTCAGTTAGGGTGAAGAATAGCTTTTGGCTTCTCTCCTGAGGCCACAAGAGGGCGCATCGAGCAATGCACGTTTATTCAAAGCATATAACATGACTATCTGTGAAAAAAGTGCATAATGTTTAAAATGTTTATAAACCAATTATAATTAATTAAGTTGCTTTTAAACAACTATAAACAAAACAGCATCATGTATGTATGCATAGTTTAATACAAAGGGCCGAAAGCCAATCACACAGATTACATTTTTCATTTAAAAACACGAGTTGCAGTGGGATGGGGGAGAAAACCCCGCCATAAAGTCTCGAGATACGTTTTTTCAAAGTTTTAAACTTGCATAAATTTTACATGGCTTTCTAAACATGCGGCTCTTTTGTGCGAGATGCGAGTGCAACGCTGATAGATGTCCCTCTAGAAAATGCGCGAAATGTGTGTTCTCGGCTTGGTTTCAGTTTTGACGTAAACAACATCTTCCCCGCATTGATTGTTCTCTTTTTCTGCAATATTTGTAATTAACAACGTAGCAGCGTCGCATCTAGTGGCTTCAACTGGATAGGCTAACAAAAACATTATAATGCAACGACACTTACATCGTAATCGCATCTCGTGCGCCGCTGATAAGGCTGCCGCCTCAACGCACACCTAAAATTCGAATGCAACGTTTTTGCATTCGAACGTGGATTTTTATTTTAAATTCGACGAATATTCGAAATTCAAATTATTTTTTGACAGCCCTAGAGGAAACCAAAGATGAGTACACACATCGTGTGAATCAAGTTACTTGCTGTTTGCAATTGTTCGATTTATTATTATTAATATAAATTTTATAATTGTTCATTAATGATACACCTTGTTAGCTTGTACCTGCGATTGTTGATCACTTAGTACACTGTAAGAAAAATATATAGAAAAATGGAAAGGGTACTAGTAATTTTCCTGGACATTATCCGTTATCCGTTGTAACCCTGTAACCCGAAAACACTAAATACAATACGTAATTAAAAATGCAGGTAAAAAACCTGTGAAAAATCAATACGGAAAATTCCTTCATATTAACATAGTAGATTTTAGAGTGTAGCATACTAACTAATACACTGCTTAAAACTATTGCTCAGAATGTGTAGTTTTACTAGTTTACTAGCTAATAAAAAAATCTTCAATTGTTCAAAAAATGTGTGTGTTCAGTGTGTACACTTGTTTATATTTCAATATTATATCATGCATTTATATTATTTTACGAACAAATCTAAATTAACATATAAAAAATATAATTTTTGCTGAGATTTGATGCAGGGACACAATTTTGCGTCGTGATTACGTAACGACGTCATCGCACAATGACATCACAACGTCATTTAGCAACAAATCAACCTTCCTTTGAAAAATTAGTTGGCAACACTGGCTCCGAAGTGTGGCTACATTTGCGATCAGAAGCCAAAAAAGCTCAGTATAATATCTGTGATAGCTAAACATGTTGCAAGAGAGGCGTCACCGCCAACATGACAAAGCACTTTAATTTAACAGATCGTTTAAGATCGCGAACACGATTCTATTCCTAGATTACAATGATTCGTCTGTTTCAATTCGTGTGCGATTGACATTGACCTAAAGAGAGCAGCGGTCTGTCATGAATGAAACAGCTTCACAGTCTCTTCAGACACACAGTATCATTATTTCTGTTACCAACATTACAATCTCAGAAGTGCTGGGATAAAACGGCGGGCTGCTGTTGAACTGCTGCGTGGCCGGATCGCTCATGAGGCCCCTGGTGGCCCCGCCGGACCCCGCCAAAGCGCTGGAGGAGAAACCGCCGACGGTTAAGACGGAGAAGGCCACGGCCTGGCAGACGGTCAATAAGTATCTGGATCTGTCGCTCT